CCCCTCCCCGCCCCACCCCCCACTCCCAGGCCATAGAGATGTACTTGCTGAATGTCTCTCCCGGGGGGCTGACCTACATCGCCGAGTGGCGAGGGGGGATTCTGGACCACAAGATGGGGCACCTGGCCTGCTTCTCGGGGGGCATGATCGCCCTCGGCGCTGAGGATGCCAAGGAAGAAAAGAGGGCCCACTACCAAGAGCTCGCAGCCCAGATCACCAGGACGTGCCACGAGTCATACGCCCGCTCAGGTAACCCTGCAAGGGGAGGGGGCAGCAGCAGAGACTGAGGCTAGACAGCAGGAAGAACTGGAAAGAGCAGCAGTGAGTGCAGGGAGTGGAAGTGAGGTGGCTTTTGAGTGAGGGCTGAGCAGTCCGGGCGCTGAAGCTGAACGTCAGGTGCTGTCTGGCACTTGACCCACAAGGTCACTGAACCTCACAACCAGGTGGGGAGACTCAGCCACCGTCCCAGGAGGCAGGGGACAGAGTCCTCCAAACCCCGAGACAGAAACACAGGCGTCCTGTCCCAGGAAGTCCCCACCCTGAGTCCCCTCCTGGGAGCCTGCCTCTGCCCCCACGGCACCTGCAGGCGGGCTCATCACCCCCTGGTACCCTGGTCACTTAGCGAGATCACCAGGAAGCTCGAGGGCTCTGGTCAGCACCCACCCACACCTGGCCCCCAGCGCAGACTGGCCAGACGCAGGGTCAGACGCCACGTGGGCAGCAGGAGCCCAGCCCTCGCTCTGCACATGGGGAAACTGAGTCAGCCCAGAGAGGGGAAGAGACTTGGCCAAAGCCACACTGCACCCCAGCAGCCGAGCCTGGGTAGGGCCAGGTCTCCTGGTGTCCAGCCTGCCCCCCGCGCTGCCTCGCCACACGCCCCCCCCCGGCCTCCTGGTGGGAGCAGAAGCCCCCAGACCTGCCGTGCAGACCCCCGGCTCAGGGCCTGCCGCCTCAGCTGGGTGGCCCCTAGTCCCTTGTCTGTCTGGCGGGGACAGTGGCATGGGTCTCCCAGAGTGTGGCAGGGCCTCCCCGGGCAGCAGGCCTCGGCCCTGGCGCAGGGGCTCCGAGCTCCAGGGGAGGCTGGCAGTGAGGCCCAAAGCCGGTCTCCATTCTCCTGGCGGAGCTCAGCCAGGGCCGTCACCAACTGGTGGCCTGGGGTAATGGAGAGCTGCCCCTTTGTCTGGGACAGTCAGCCCCATCATGGAGGACGGTCCCTCGGCAGGGCCCAGTGCTCCCGCCAGCCTGGCTGCCCGCTGCCCTCACCCTGTTAGCAACGTGGCACAACCACCGTGTTGTCCTGGGGCTCCAGCCGCGTCACCATCTGACAGGTGGGAGGGGCGGGGCCTAGATCCCTGCTCTTCCAGGAAGCCCTCCAGGGGGGACGTCCACCCGAGCTCCAGCCCGGCTCCTGAGGAAGCCACCCACGTGGGGCTCCCAACCCAGATGGATGGGGGCGCTCAGCTGGCCTGGCAGGATGTGCAGGCAGCGGAGGGAGGAAGACCTGAGCCACACACCCTAAA